ACATGTCGATATCCTCTTTAACACCTTCCACATTTCTATACGTTTTCCCATTAAGATGGTGTTGCAGTGAATGAAAAAGATGATAATCTGATGGTGCCATACTTGGAGAATATGGTGGGTGAGGGAGAACTTCCCAACCCAACTCCATAATCTTGTCTTGTGTCAAACATGTGACATGTAGACATGCATTGTTGTGTAGAAGAAGAACACCTTTCTGATTGACGAGTGAAGAGCATTTCTGATGAAGGACTTGATTTAAATGTTCCAGTTGCTGACTACAAAACTCTGCATTGACAGTTTGCTGTGGATTGAGGAGTTCGAAATAAATTACTCCTTTGATGTCCCACCAAATGCAAAGCATCACTTTCTGTGGATGGAGTCCAGGTTTTGGGGTCGGAAGTGAGCCATTGTTTTTGGCATTTAATATTTGCATAGAGAATCCATTTTTCATCACCGTTGACAATTCTGTCCAAAAATAGTTCATGTGAATTTCGTGCCAGAAGAGACAAAGGTATGTTCACACGTTGGAAATGATGACCATCAGAGAGTTCGTGAGGCACCCAAACACCTTCTTTAAGGAGTTTTCCCATGTTCCTTAGATGTTTATACATTGTTTCATGATAAACATGCAATTTCAGAGCCATTTCACGGGTGTGCTGTCTTGGGTTTCACTCAACAAGCATCTTCAGAGCATCAATATCAATTCCAACATGTCGGCCTCTACCATCACAGTTTTCAAGGCTAAAGTCACATGAATGAAATTTGCTGAACCATCGTTGACACTCATGAACGTTCAAACCATTTCCATGAACTTCTTTGATATTCTTTGTGGATACAGAAGCGTTGTTCCCTCCTTGTATTCAAACAGCATTACATGCCGAACGTGTGTCTCATCGTGTGCCATCACTATATGAGATTAGAATATACTAATCTTTACACATTATACAGGCTACACTAATGTGGCATTTAGGCGATTTGTTTAAGTAATATACGCGATAAATATTTTTTGGGGGGTGGTCAATGAAAGTATTCCAAAACGCTACATTAATTTCTTGACGACCTAATATATATATATATATATATATATAACTATT